AGGAGGAAGAGGAGGAGGAGGAATTGCTAAATGAGTAAAGGAGCAAATCCCTCATTTGCTGGTTCCCTTGAGTGTGCAAGAAGAAACTGGCATGTTGTTAGGATGGTCCCTCAGTAGGGGCTGTGTTTGAAAACTGCTTAAAGAAACCTGCTGTTGGGGTCTGAGAGATGGCTCAGTGGAATAAGCACTTCACTGGCAAATTCAAGGGTCTGAGTTCAAGCCCCAGTTCTGTAAAAAAAAAAAAAAAAAAAAACTCAGGCATAAGTTCTCTGCCCTTCCCAGGAAATGATTCCTTCCTGAGGCCCTGTTTCTAGGACAGCTGTTTCCTCTTTTGGCACCTGTCATTCTCTATTTCATCTCTCAGAGTTTGAGACCCATAAGGGTCGTTTTAGGTGAATCCTTGTTCTTCAGGGCCCTGTTTCAAGGTCTGTGGGGGTGTTGTGTTGGAAAGGGCTTTGAATGGAGGGCTGGAGGCTGCTGGGAAGTGAGTTCAGGTTAGATCAGGGGTCACATGGGGCCAGGCACACTTGGGGCCTTGGGTACCCTTGCGGGGCCAGCTGTGAGGCCAGTTGCCAGCACTGACCTCTCACCAGAGGCGCAGGGACAGCTGGGGATTCCAGGGCTGGCCTGAACCCTGCAGGCTGCCGAGATCCTCCTGCTTCAGCCTCCCTGTATGTCCTGGACCTCAGGTATGAACCATCTCCACTGGCTTTTTTCTTTCTTTCTTTCTTTCGTTTTAATCAATTTTAAGTTCAAATTAAAAACTGATGGTGGGGGTCAGTGAGATTGCTTAGCAGACTAAGCGCCTGCTTAGGCAAGCACAGGGACCAGGACCACTACCACTTGCTGTGCCGGCCCAGAGACCAGACATGGTGGTGCATGCCTATAATCCCAGCACTGGGGAGGCTGAAAATAGGAGGATCTCTATAAGTCAGAGCTGCATAGTGAGACCTTGTAATAAATACATTTTTAAAATCCAACACCAAAACCAAAAAGTAATGGTGCATTGTGATGTAAGGAGAGGGCCTTGCTTTGCTCAGTTGCCCAAGCTGAGTTCGAACTTGTAATCCCCCTGGCTCAGCTCTGAATACAAGGTTTGGCTATGCAGTCCAGGCTGGACTTGAACTCACTACGTAGCCCAGCCTGGCTGCAAACTCACCATGATTTTTTTCTGCCTCAGCCTTCCTGGAGCTAGGATTACAGGTGTGCATCACCTTGTTTGGCTCATATTTTTAATTTTAACTTTTTTTTTTTTTTTTTTTTTTTTTGCATTTTAGGGAAGGGTCTACAGAGTGTTCAGGGTCTCACTACTAGATCGAACTGGTAGTGATCCACCTGTTCACAGCCTCCCAAGAGCTGGGATTACAGGTGTGCGCCACCATGCCCAGTCTCAATTGCTGTCTCAGTCTGCCCCCAGGGGCAGTCGGCATGGCAGGCCCAGGGATTGAACCCCAGTCCCTGAGCCTGCTTGCAGGAGCTTTGATCCGCTGAGCTATTTGGCCAGCTTGCTAGCTTGCTAGCTTGCTTGCTTGCTTGCTTGCTTTTTTTCTTTTTTTTGACACAGGGTCTCAATGCAGTTCAGGCTGGCCTTGGACTCACTTGTAGCCCAGGCTGGCCTCGAACCCATGGCAGTCTGCCTGCCTCAGTCTCCCAGGTGCTGGGATCACAGATGTGTGCCACCACACTGGACAAAATTTTTAAAAAAATTAAAAGGGTGAGGGTGTGGCTGAGCAGCAGAGTGCTTGCTTAACATACATGAAGTCCTGGGCTCCATCCCCAGTGAAACAAAACATAAATATTTGCAGAGTGCCAGGTAGGCGTCTGACCAGAGATAAGGGCTGACTGCGTCAACAGATAGCAGAATCTTAGGAATTTCAGGATGGGAAGCAGGAACTTGGCAGGTCCCAGGGACTTTTTGGCTTTCTTTGGGAAGAGAGGGCTGGGCCTCTGGACCACCTGAATCCCTCCCCCTGGATGTTACAGGTCTTCCAGGTCTCACCATGGAATGGTTCGGGCTCTGGTAGGACACAGGGCTGGAAGGGGTATTTTTGGAGATACCCCCCCCATGTGATGCCTGGTCCAGAGGAGCCCGGTGAAGACCTGTCACTACAGCAGCCACAGACTGGCAATAACAGTAGTAAATAACAGCAAACAACAAGGCAGTCTCAGCCAGGCGTGATGGGCATTCTGGCAACCCCAGCAGTCGGGGAGCCTGAGGCAGGACAATTGCTGGGAGTTCGAGGCCAGCCTAGACTACATAGTGGGACCTTGTCTACAAAAACAAAGACCCAACCAGTCAACCAAACATATATGTAGGGCATTCTATGCAACAGGAAGAGAAAGACATTGAGGATTTGAAACAGTAGGTGGGCCTGGGAGGGTTTTCTCAGCCTCTCAGTTGGCCTACCCTGCAGGGTCCAGTGTACTGGCCCTGAATCTCTGCATGCAGCAGACAGTAAGTGTTGACTGCAGTGTATTTCAAGGATGTGTAAGGGAGGCAGCGTCACTAAGAAGGGACACTGGAGTGTGCCAGGACCTTGGGGAAGTGGAGGGGCAGATGTCCTCTCCCAAGCCATCCCTAGTGCTTCCAAGAAGAATGGTGGAAGGGATAGTTTACAAGTGGAGCAACCATGAGTAGGAATAGTGGATACTGTGGCTGGACGATTGACCCATGTGAGGGGTCAAAAATATGGAACGCTTCACGAATTTGCGTGTCATCCTTGCGCAGGGGCCATGCTAATCTTCTCTGTATCGTTCCAATTTTAGTATATGTGCTGCCGAAGCGAGCACAAACGTGCCTGTGTAGATCTAGGTATTTAAGAGCCAATATAATTAACACTTTGCAGTTAGGTCAATTTTTTGTTGAGCTCTTTTTTTTTAATAATGTCCTATCAAAAAATATCCCCTGTTATCCAGTTTATTGAATGTCTTTAAACATACTACAGAATCTGAGATGTTGACTAATTCAACCTAACAAGAAAACCTTGCCTCCGCCTAGCCTTATGGGATGTTGTATGCAAAACAGGCGGTGGCCCCGCCCCCGTTCCCGGCCGCCCCGGAGAGGGTGGGGCCTCCGCGGGCGGCCGCGGACATCCCAGGGTGCCCCGCGGACCGGCGGCGCTCTGGCTGGGCGGGTTCGCTGGTGTCGTAGACCCCGGTGGAAACGCGAGCGAAGGCGGCGACGGCAGTGGCCAAAGGCTGCGGCGTCCGGGACGTGTCTCGGGTACTCGCTGGCCCATCGGGCGACGCGGGGAGACATGTCGGAGCACGCGGCGCCTGCGGCCCCGGGGCCCGGGCCCAACGGCGGCGGCGGCGGCCCAGTCCCCGCGCGCGGCCCGCGCACCCCCAATCTGAACCCCAACCCCCTCATCAACGTGCGCGACCGGCTCTTTCACGCTCTGTTCTTCAAGATGGCTGTCACCTACTCGCGGCTCTTCCCGCCCGCCTTCCGCCGCCTCTTCGAATTCTTCGTGCTGCTCAAGGTGACCGACCCCCGACCACTGACCCCTGACCCCGGCCGCCTGCCAGCTCCTAAAGTCTAGATCGGGCCAACCCTTTGGGATACTAATGGCTGCGACCTCCGACCTGGGGTCTTTTGGACACGGTGGCCCTAGGGTCTCCATCGCAGAGCCCCAGGGTACCCTATTATTAGTTGCTGGTCCCGCCTTCTGACCTGGATCCCCACTTTCGGCAAGCTTGGAGCCCCGCCAGGACCCTCTTCCCGCTGCCCTTTGACCCTAACTCTGCAGCCCTGATCCTAACCTCAGAACCCACTCTCTGTAGGTCCTTTCCATCTGGTGGAGGGAGTCCCTCTCCTGGCACCTTCCACTGTCCACACTGCCCTTCTCCCTGCACTGAGCCTCACGGCCCTGCGTGTATGATTTAGTTGAAGTCACCTCGCTAGGGTTAGCAGCAAAGTCATAGTCGGCACCAACTCCTCTGGATGTCCTCTGATTGAGCTTCACTGTCTGCTTGACTCTTGTCACTAACTATGGTCCTCAGGTGGTGCTCTGGCCCCTCTAGGGAGTCTTGGTGGGGGGACAAGACTTGGAGCCAGCCAGCTGCCTTCCTTCTGGGTTTCCCACCCATCAGGGAATGGAAAAGTGACTGGGCACAGGGATGTCGGATGTTGCTGGGCAAGCATTTGCTTCCTTGTCTGATGAGAGGGATGCTGCCAGGGAGGCTGTGCACAGGTCCCCAGCCTGGTGCAGCTACCCTGGAGCAATGCTGGGGTCAGTGGAAGGAACTATAGCCTGACCATTGGACTGACGTGAGAATGGGTCCTGGCCCCCACAAGAGCCTCCAGGAGAGCCTCCTTGAGCCTCCAGTGGCTGTTATAGGGAACTGATGCATCCCAGCTGGTGCCTGGCCTGCTTCCTTCCCATGGCCCCCAGAAGAGCTTGGTCTCTTGCGCATAGTGAGGAGTTATGGAATTGGGTCCTTCATCCAGGTTCCTGTGGGCTTTGATGGTCTGACGTTGTGCACAGTAGCCCGTCTGTGGGTGTGTTTTCCTTGAGACACTGCATGTGTTCTGAAGAAACCACTGTGCCCCTAGCCAGAGCTTGTCCTTGCAAGTGCTGTGCCCAGTGATTGCTTCTCCTGGAGGTGCTTCCTGGTGGCCTCTGGCCTGGTCCCACTGCTTCGTCTTGGGAGTGACAAGTGTTGGGTCATCCCTGCAATTCCGTACTCATCTCCAGGCAGGTGGCACTCTCAGGACTGAAAACACCCCCAACACACACACACACACACACACACACACACACACACACTGAGTGAATCCCTCCTCTTCTGGGGGTGCCTTGTTGCGTGACTTCCGAGTGGAGCCCAAGTCCTGAGCTCTGGGGTGCAGAATCAGCCTTGTGCCTCTGACTTTCTCACTGAGGCTGGGTCCAGCTGGTTGCCGAGTTCAAGGAAGCTCAGCTCCTTGTTTCCTGCTAACCCAAAGGGCTGGGCTTCCGCGGGCTCTGTGGAGGGGTGGCCCATTGCTTCCTGTGGGGCGTGTGCAGCTGAGTGCCTTGTCCTCCATGCCCAGGCTGGGGTACTGTTAGGAACCCTCAACCTGTTATCAGATTCTGGAGAGAGGTGGCAGCCAGGCCAGTATTGGAGGGATTCTTAGAACACCACTCTGCTGGCCTTGGTGTCCTTGGCTGGTTTCATTGCACCGAGACCAGAAGCACAGGCTGGTTGGACCTGGGACATCAGGCCCAGTGCCCAGTGCTGGTTACCAGCAGGTGTCCTTGGAGCAGAGACCCTGGCATGTACTGCCTACTGCCCCTGGACATGGGTAGGTGCTCATTTCTCTGCTGAGCGAGGTAAACAAGGTGCCTCTCTTGGGGTCACTGACAGGACTTTCATGGTGGCTGTTCGTATAGGAGGAGTTACCTGTTCTCCTGGATGGGACACCCTGAAGGTTTCCTGGCTAGGGCTCAGGCTCTGCGAGCCATCCCTGGGGAGGAAGGTGTGGCCCCATGCACTAGTCCCTTAGTCAACATTCAAAGTGAGACAGTTAGCACTTGGCCCTGATCTGTGAAGAGACAGGGAAAGGCCTGCCGGGAGGTGGTGTGTTGGTGTGCCTGTGCCCAGAGACTTGGAGAGCTCCTGAATGGCATGGGGGGCGTGGCCTGCAGTCTGGTGTCTGACCTCTGTGCTTCTCCTGTGGGGCTGTGGAATGTACCACTGACCATCAGGCCTGGCGACCTGGGGCATGGTGGGGCTGGGCAGGGTCACTCTGGTTAAGGACTGGGTGTCCAGGCAGCAGGGCTGGGGACAGGATACCAGTGCAGGGGTTGGGTTGTGGAGCATCCAAGTGTGTGGAGCAGTTGGACAAGACTGAGGCAAAGGGTTACAGGGCAGGTGGCACAGGGCCAGTGTGAGGGCCTTCTTCATGTGGCTGCTGGAGGTCTTGGGAAGGGAGGACTCAAGGGTACAAAGTGAACATGGCTGGGTGCTGCATATAGTTCTGTAGAGGGGAAACTGAGGCAGAGCAGAAGGCAGGGTACCTGGGGGTGGGGCCACTGAGAGCTGCAGGAGCCAGCACCAGGGTGATGTCTGAGTCACAGTTGAGTCCCTGTGCTCTCAAGTCATGTCCCTTGTCCTTGAAGCACTGGCCATAGGCCCTGTGTTGTATGTGGTGGGGGAACATCTAGCTGACGTTTGCAGCCTGCTTGCGGGGGACGCCCTGGCCTGTGCACTCTCACCTGCAGGTTGCAGGTCATAGTGTGTCCATGGGAAGCTCTGGGCACCCCCTGGTTGGGCCCCACTCAGCACCCTAGGTGTTGGCATGGTGCCCCATGTCATCCTTCGCTGGGCTGGGTGTCCAAGGCACACCTCCTGGGGCCTGAAGGGCAGAGTGCAGCCACCAGGCTCTCAAAGGAGGCCTGGAAGATGCCGTGCTCCCTGTCCCGCTGGCCCCGCCTGCCAGGAAGCTCAGCAAAGGGACCAAGCTCAACTCTGCTCCCAGTTCCTTGGCACAGGCTCCTACCATGTTCTTAGTTCCAGGCACCTGACCATCCGCAGCCAGGCGGCTCGTGTCTCTTGCCCCATCTCAGTCATGTGCTATCCTCCATCTCTGGGGTGTCAGGCTGTGAGAGGTGGAAACTCTGTTCCTGTTGGCTCAGGAGGTGATGTCAATGCACCCAGCTGAGGAGCATGTCGGGGCTAGGCCCAGCGTTGGGTGTGGCTGGGTCCAGGCTTTCAGCAGTACATGCAGTCACAGCTGCTGTGGTGGCAGGGGCCTGGGGAGGATGCTGACAGCCCTGTGCCTGGCTGCAGAGTGAAGGGCAGCCCAGCAGTGAGCACCAGAGGTTGGCTTGCGGTTCCTGGGTCATCTCTGCTGCATGCTTACAGCAGCTGCACCTCTGGTCACTGTCACCAAGCTGGGTGGGCATTGTGCCCCGGAAACCCCTCCCTAGAGAGCCTGGGAGCATGGTGTGGTGGGCACGAGGAGTGTGTGAGGTTGTGCTGCAACCTGGCTGAGTGTCACATGGCTCCCTGTGCACCCTGGAGAGGGGTGGCAGGTGGCCTGGGTTGCTGCCACCTGTGGACATGCATGCTGCCTGTGGCAGTCACCCTAGAGTGCTGTGTACACTTAGGTGGGGGTGGAGAGGGTGACCTGGGCACTGGATGCTGAGTAGCAGCCCTGGCCTCCACCTGCCCCATGTCAGGAGTAGCTCCAGTTGTAATAGTCATGAGTCCCCACATAATGTGGTGACCCTGAGGGCAGAGTCATCCTGAGAGTAGTTGCTATCCCATTTTACAGATGAGGAAGCCACATGTACCAGGCAAAGCAGCCTGGCCTACTGTGGGGCTCAGTTTTGTTCTGGGCACCTCTGCTGGCCCTGCAGAGGGGGTGCTATTTTTAACTGGTGAGATCGGGGACTCTGAGGACACCTCAGGGCAGAATGTAAGGTAGGAGACAGCCGTGAGGCTAAGGTAGGGGAGTGGGCTTGGCCCAGTGATATGGGAGGTCGTGGCTGATGGTGCTGATAGCCCTTCCCCACTGGGGGCTACATGGAAGAATGGCCCATACCGCAGGCTTCCCTGTGCCCCAGGGCCTGGCAGTCTTTCCTGGCTGGGGACCCTGTCAAGACTCAGGAAAGGGGCTGGGGAGATGGCTCAGTAGGATAAGTGCTTGACTGGCAAATGCAAGAATCTGAGTTCAATCCCCGGTTCCGCCAATAAATAAATAAATAAATAAATAAATAAATAAAATTTAAAAAAAAAAAAGACCCAGGAAAAAGGTCTTGTGGAGGCCTGTGCTCCTCTGCTGTCTGGGGCTCAGCCCCATTGACTACTGTGTCTCCCTCCCCCGCTCCCCCAGGCCCTGTTTGTGCTCTTCGTGCTGGCCTACATCCACATAGTCTTCTCACGTTCACCAGTCAACTGCCTCGAGCACGTGCGGGACAAGTGGCCTCGTGAGGGCGTGCTGCGTGTGGAGGTGCGGCACAACTCCAGCCGCGCACCCGTATTCCTGCAGTTCTGTGAAGGCGGTGCCCAGGGCAACTTCCCTGACCTGGCTGTAGAGCCCAGTGGCTTGGAGCTGAAGGAGGAGGAGGAGGAGGAACTGACCATGGAGATGTTTGGGAACAGCTCAGTCAAGGTGAGTTGACTAGGGGCCAGGGAGATAGCTCAGTAGAATAAGTGCTTCCCTGGCAAGTGCAAGGACCTGAGTTCAATCCCCAGTTCCGGGGGGAAAAAATCAGATAAGGTGAGTTGACTGGAGGCCCAGGGTATGGCCCTTGGTGGCTTCACCTGGTGGAGGCTGGGCCTCAAGAGGAGAGCTGAGCCCCTACAAGGGGCCTGGGGCCAGGGCATAGCTGCTGGGGGTGTGAAGCCTCAGGCACTAGTGGGCCCCCTTTTTGAGGTCCTGACCCTGCCCCCATCCCAAGCTGATAGCCCCCTGTAGCGATGGGCTTGGTGTTAGGTGGGGTTCTGACCAAGGCAGGAAGTCCAAGAGTTGGCTTTGGAGGCACCAGATACCCCACACCTCTAGGACCGCATCCTCCAGGCCTGGCTGAGTCCCCCTGGACATGCTGATGCCTTATTCCTGGTTGCCCACAGTTTGAGCTGGACATAGAACCCAAGGTCTTCAGGCCGCCCACTGGTACCAAGGCCCTGAATGACAGCCAAGAGTTCCCCTTCCCTGAGACACCCAGCAAAGGTATGGGGGTGTCCAGCCATGGAGGTGGGGTGCTGACACCTCCCAGTCCCACTGACCAGCCTGTTTCTACAGTGTGGCCACAGGACGAGTACATTGTGGAGTACTCTCTGGAGTATGGCTTCCTGCGGCTGTCACAGGCCACTCGGCAGCGCCTCAGCATCCCTGTCATGGTGGTCACCCTGGGTGAGCCTCACACCCTCCAAGGGGTTCCTGCTGTGTGTGAGGGAGGCTGGGCACAAGCCCCAGCTGCTCTCACTGACCCCTGCTCCTGTCCCACAGACCCCACACGGGATCAGTGCTTTGGAGACCGCTTTAGCCGCTTGCTACTGGATGAGTTCCTAGGCTATGATGACATCCTAATGTCCAGCGTGAAAGGCCTGGCCGAGAATGAGGAGAACAAGGGTGGGGCCTGGGCTGGCCCATGGCAGTGGGGTCCAGGGCTCTGGGGGTCAGTGGTGGGGGCTCAGCACAGCTCACCGCCTCCCCCACAGGCTTCCTGCGGAACGTGGTATCGGGGGAGCACTACCGCTTTGTCAGCATGTGGATGGCTCGCACATCCTACCTGGCTGCTTTTGTCATCATGGTCATCTTTGTGAGTGCCTTGCTGGGGGCAGGGATGGGGGTTGGGGCTCCCATGAGTACCCCTGACTGCCTGTTGGGCACCCACCTGCCCCCTGCAGACCCTTAGTGTGTCCATGCTGCTGCGCTACTCGCACCATCAGATCTTCGTATTCATCGGTGAGTCCCGGCTGGCTGCGGGGTGTGGGGTGGGCTGGTCCCCAGACCCTCACAGGCGGCCCTGTGCCCTGTGCCCGCAGTGGACCTGCTGCAGATGCTGGAGATGAACATGGCCATCGCCTTCCCTGCAGCACCCCTGCTCACCGTCATCCTGGCCCTTGTTGGTGAGGACCCTGCCCACCTCCCTCACCCCATACACCACCCCACCTGTTCTCCAACCCGGCGCTCTGTCCCCACAGGGATGGAGGCCATCATGTCCGAGTTCTTCAATGACACTACCACAGCCTTCTACATCATCCTGATCGTGTGGCTAGCTGACCAGTATGATGCCATCTGCTGCCACACGAACACCAGCAAGCGTCACTGGCTAAGGTGAGCTGGCAGATTGGTAGGGTCAGTACAGGGACCCAGATTGGGCACAGCTAGGTCCCAAAATTCATGCTTTGTCTGCAGGTTCTTCTACCTGTACCACTTCGCCTTCTATGCCTACCACTATCGCTTCAATGGGCAATATAGCAGCCTGGCCCTGGTCACCTCTTGGCTTTTCATCCAGGTGAGGCCCCCATGGCAGGGGCACCTTAGGTCGTTGGCTGGTAGGAACAAGGAAACAGAGGTCATGAGAAAGGGGGAGGAGAACGGGAAGCTGTTCAGGAAGAACAAAGATTCTGGTGACGTGCCTGGGTCCTTGGCACTGAATGTTGAAGTGTCCAGAGTCTGGCAGGCTATGGGTGTGGGTAGTCACTCAGCATACTTCTGCGCAGGCGCACACCTGTGGCCCAGTGGTGGGCGGGGCCTCTTTGTGTTAGGGGCTGCTGCCTACCTGACTCTCTCCGGTCCCTGACTCTCCCTCTCCGGTCTTGTCTTCCCCACCCCAGCATTCCATGATCTACTTCTTCCACCACTATGAGCTGCCAGCCATCCTGCAGCAGATCCGCATCCAGGAGATGCTACTGCAGACCCCGCCACTGGGCCCAGGGACCCCCACGGTGCTACCAGATGACCTGAACAACAATTCGGGCACCCCTAATGCCACCTCAGACCCTGCTGGCCAGCCCCTCGCCCTGGGTCCTGGCTCAGCTGGAACCAGCGGGGCCCCTGGGCCTGGGACCGGGCCTGCTGCGCCCAGTACCCTGGGTGCCATGGCTGCCTCAGTGGCTGCGGCAGCCGGAGGTGACCTGGGCTGGATGGCTGAGACTGCTGCCATCATCACTGATGCCTCCTTCCTGTCCAGCCTGGGTGCCTCCCTCTTGGAGCGGCGGCCAGCCAGGCCCTTGAGCCCCAGTGGGGGTCTTCCCCGCAGCCCCCAGGACAGTGTCCCCCAGAGCGACTCCTTGGCACCCGACACAACCTCCCCAGTAGCCAGTGGGGGTGGGCCCGTCCCCGCACCCAGGACCCCTGCTGACTCTCCCCCCGAGGTCGGGTCCTGAGCTTGGCAGCTGCCACCTGTCCCTGGTCCCAGCTGGCGGACATGACCTCGGAGTTCATGGTGGGGAGGCAGTCCCTGATGGGGCCAGGGCCCTCCCCTCCCCGATTTGCCCGCCTGGGCTCTGGCGGTGGCCTTGACATCAATCAGGTTTGGGAGGGCCGGCCCTCCCTGGGCACCGGCCAGATGTGTCCTGATAGAAAGCTTATGTGTGGTGGTCTGAAGGAGAGGGACAGCCACCGAAGGCTCTGGAAGGGCTCAGTGGGAGGTAAGGGGCACTGTCCAGGGGCAGGGCTCAGCAGCAGGTGACAGGTGGGGAGCGGCTGCGTCGGGCTGCGGGGCTCGGCCAGCCCAGCTGCCAGGTGCTCCCCATACAGTGCCTTCTCCTTGGCCGCCCCTCCCTGCACCCTACAGCTTGGGGTTCCCAGGTGTGGAGCTGTGCTGCGGGCATGGCCAGGGCCTAGGTGCCAATGTCAGCCAGGCACTCGGGTGGCAGTGGGAGCCAGGTGCTTGGTGAGGATGGGAGCAGCGTTCATTCCACTCTATTTAATTGCAGTGTACAAAATTGTGTTTGTATATAGAATAAACTGTCTGTGGACAGCGTCTGGTCTCCGCCTGCATGTGCGCAGTGGCTGCATTCACCGTGCGTCCTCAGGGACCCTTGCAGCTTGGAGCAGTCGCAGTGGCCTGTGGCGGGTGCCATCCCCAAGCTGGGCCCTGAGCTCACCCCGCCGCAGTAGGGCTTGGCGCAACCGCTCGCGCACAGCCTCGATATGTCGTTCCAGCTCTTCCAGCTCTCCAGGCACAGGTGACCTCCCGTTGGAGCACAGCCACAAGGGGCCCTCAGGTGGCCCCTGCTCCCTGTCCTGGGCCACTGCTGGGTCCAGCAAGAAGCGCACGCGGCGGCGCTCAGTGCTCACCGCCCGACGCACACGTTTCCAGCGCCTGGGGCTTTCAGGGTCAGCCAGGGTGGCCTGCTGCTGCTCCTTTGGGCCACTGGGGACGGGACGGGGCTAGGCTAGGTCTCAAGTCACCTACTCCCCACCCGGGTCCTTTTGGAGTGGTGGGCTGGCAAGGAATCCTCCCCAAGTCCCCACTCACCTGGACTCCACCTCCAGCTTCTGTGCACCGGGTTGCTCTGTGTTGAGCGCGCGGTGGATCTTCTAGATCCCAGACAGAGCCCGGTGTGTTGGCAGCAGGCAGCGATGGCAAGTTGTCCCGCCCGCGCCCCCAGCGCCCCCACAACTGCCCACCTGGCTGGTGTGCAGCCAGTACTGCAGACGGTTGCCCCTGCGGATGCGCGGCAGCACCAGGCGGTAGAAGACGTGCTCGCCCAGGGAGCTGAGCAGAGCGCTGCCGAGGCCCAGGCAGAGCAGCAGAAAGAGGCCGGAGAAGTGGTAGATGCCCATCTGGAGAGTCTGGGAGGCAACACAGGGGGCAGGGGCTGTGCACCACATGGGGAGGCAGAGCCACCAGGCTGGACTTGAAGGGCGGTATCATGGAGGGGGACACTGGAGCTGTGGTTTTGTAGGACAAATGGGTGCGCAAAAGCAGACCAGCACCCACCTTGGGAATGACAGGAAATTGGGCGCCTCAGACAAGGCTCCGGGGCCCCTGTGCCTACCACCAGTCTGTGCCCGGGCCCTGGCCCACCTCAGTAACTGCGAAGACACGCTTCCCACAAGGCACCATCTTATACCACTTGTCATGCAGCAAGTCGATAAAGCCCGAGGACTTGTAGCGGCTGATGAACTCAGACAGATTGGAGGTGAGTGGCGAGTTTTGGGGCAGTCCGATGCCATAGCCTGAGGGAGACCAGAGCAATGGGAAGGGACCCTGTGGTTGGGGGAGCCTCAACCCGCCCCTGTCCCCTCACACTCTCGCACCTTCGATGGCGAAGGGCTTGCCCACGGTAAGCAGCTTGCAGTCGGGGTCGATGGACACCTCATAGTCCAGAAGTGACTTGTCCATGATAAAGGCATTGAGCTTGGGGGGGTCGCTCCTGCGGGATCCCGGGAGGGGTGAGTGGTGTGTGAGGCCCCGCCCCAAGGTCCCGCCCCGAGGCCCCGCCCAGGCTCACGTGAGCATGGCGACACCACCAGGTGTGGTGGGCGCGCTGTGGCGCCGCATGTGTGCGTGCATCTCCGGGAAGCTGGCCTTTATGTAGGCCTCTGCACTGCTCTCCCACACCGTGCCGAAGCGGAAGCCCTGTGGTGGCTGGTGCAGCTGTGGAGGGCACGGGAGCGCCTTCAGTTGGAGCCAGGACATCGCCCACCCCCACCCCTTCCACTGGCCTCCCAGATGTCACAGCCACCCCATCCGCAGACCCTGCCTGGAATGAGACCCCTGTCCTCGACACCTGCACATGTATCTCACTGCCTCACCATCGCCCCAGGCTCCCTTAGGGTGCCCTGGGAACCCCAAACACACACCACCACATAGACCTCTCTTGCATGGTGGGGCAGCCCAACCTCCTGACACCCATTTTGATCTGCTGCTGTACACCCTAGCCCCCGTCCCACCCTCCAGCTCTGGCATCCTAGCCCAGGCTGAGTTGCCCTGCCCTGCCCTGCTATACCTGCCCTGCCCTACCTGCCCTGCCCTGCTTTGGTTTCCCTCTGCTGACCCTTGGCCTCTTGTCCAGGAGTTCAACAAATGAGACTTGTGCTAACAGTCCCCATCTAGCCAGCTGTGCTGTCCTAAGCCTGTTATCCCAGTATTCTGGGAGGCTGAGGCAGGAAGATCACAAATGCAAGCCCAACCTGGACAATTTAATAACTTGCAAGATCCCATCCCAAATTAAAATAAAAAAGGTCTGAGGATATAACTCAGGTATACAGTGTCCCTGGATTCCATCCCTAGTAATGCAGAAGTACACACATGGTGTTACACACTTGCCATCTCAGCACTGGGGAGGCTGAGGCAGAATCACTAAGTTTGAAGTCAGTCTGGGCTAAGTAGTGAGTTCAAGGCCAGCCCAGAGTACAGCGTACAATCTTGTTTGAAAAAAGCCAAAAGAGCTGAGTGTAGTGGTACACACCTGTAATCCCAACCCTGGACAGGCTGTGACAGGAGTTTAAACCAGACAGGGCTACATAAGGAGAGCCTGTCTAAAAAACAAAAAAAAAAAAAGTCCTGCAGCGATACTGCAATGCCACAGAGCTCAGATTTAAACAGACTGTGTTGGGGTGGGGGATAATATGAAAACAGGGCCCTGACTGACAGTCCCTGGAATATTCACAGGTGAAACCACAGAATCTGGGACTCGTTTCAAAATAAAACACAGGTACTTGCGTCTTTAAAATGTATACAAAGTAGGGTCCAGGGAGATGGCTCAGTGGAATAACTGCTTCCCTGGCAAGCGCAAGGGTCTGAGTTAAATCCCCAGTTCCACAAAGAGAGAGAGAGAGAGAGAGAGAGAGAGAGAGAGAGAGAGAGAGAGAGAGAGAGCAAGCGTGTACAAAATAATGTACTGGTGGGTGCTGGTGCCATATGAAGGTGGTTAGGGTTTGGCTAGGGAGCCTCGCAAAGCATTATGGGGTTCACTGCCCAGATTCTAGACTATTGGAAATTGTCATTAAGGAGAAAAATCTATGTTTGACACATCTATCAGGAACTGGAAGGCTGAGGCATGAGGATCACACGTTCAAATATGACCTGGACAATAGAGCAAAACCCTGTTCCAAAACAAAAAATAAGAAGGGCTGGGGCTGGTGAGATGGCTCAGTGGTCTAAAGCACCTACTTAGAACAAGCTTAGCAAAGCACAGGGGCCACGGTTCAATCCCCCAGCACCACATGCCAGCCAGCCCCGCCCCCTGGTGGGCTGAGCTGGCCACACACATACACACACACAAATAAATAAATAAAATTTAAAAAAAAAAAAAAAAAGAAGGGCTGGGTTGGGGCCGTGGAGATGGCTCAGTAGGAAAAGCGCTTGACTGGCAAATGCAAGGATCTGAATTCAATCCTCGGTTCCCCCCCACAAAAAAAAAAAAAAAAAAAAAGGGCTGGGTTTATTAGTCCCAGTACTTGGAGGCTGAGGCAGTGGAAGATTATCTCGAGTTCGAGGCCAATTTGGGCTACCGAGTGAGACCCTAGCTTAATCAAAGGCTAAGGATGTTGTGTGGGAAGGCCCTGGATTCCCTCCCCAGTGGGGGGAATCAGGGGGAAGTAGGCCATGGCTCACCCCTCTTCTGCCCTCAGTCTCTGTGGTTCCCACCTCCCTTGGGGGTCAAAGCCCAGGTGCTCCCTGCAGCCCTCAGGGCCCTATGAGGCCCACCCTGTCACCTCCCCGCCTGCCTCCTCTGCGACTTCTTTTTTTTTTTTTCTTTTTTGCGGTACCAGGGATTGAACTCAGGCCCTTGTGCTTGCTAGGGAAGTGCTTATCCCCCTGAGCCATCTCCTCAGCCTCTCCTCTGCAACTTCTGTGCCCTTCGATTCCTCTCCAGCCACAAGGGCTCCTTGCTACTCTGTACGGCTTGGAGGTCCAGCCTTTCCAGAGCCTTTGGACAGCTGCGCCCTGCCTTGCTTCAGACACCCATATGCCCACTCCGTCAGGGCTTTGGGGGAGTCAGGGAGAACTCTATGAGCAACTCTTTTAGTTTTAGGGTGTTTTGTTTTTTGAAAAAGACAGGGTCTCCGTATATAATCTGGACTGACCTTAAATGCTAGGTAGGGGTGGCTAGATAGCTCAGTGGTCTAAAGTGCCTGTTTAGGTAAGCTTAGGCAGGTGCGGGGGACCTCAGTTCAATCCCTGGCATCAGAAGGCACGCTAACCTGGCCCACCGCGTGGACTGAGTCAGCCACCAAAAAATAAAAATAAAAAACTAAAACAACCGCTAGGCAATTGTCCTGCTTCAGCCTCAAGAGGTGGAATGACATGGGTTGTCCACAGAGCAGGGCACACGCTAGATGCAGGGTGTGGCTCAGGGGCAGAGTGCTGGCCTAGCTTTCCTCCCACCTGGATAACCCCATGCAGCCCTCACCCTCTGGCCCTGGCCCACCCACCTTAGGGTCGTGGATCCCTGACAGCTCCTCGAAAGTCTTGTCCCCGACCATGACGGCGGCCAGATTGGCCGTGTAGCTGGACAGCACAAGCAGGCAGAAGATGGCCCAGAGGTTCATGAGGAAGCGGCCGGTGGGACATTTGGGAGTCTTGCTGGACACGGTACGGCCGAAAAGGATGGCGTAGCAGAGATTGAGCGCAGAGGAGTAGGAGAAGACTGTGCTGCGGTTTCGGCCGCGCGGTGTGAGTCCGTAGGGGCTGCGCCACTCATACAAGGTGAGGAAGAGCGCAGTGAGGTGCAGGGCCGCGAAGACGCCCAGCCACATGGTCCAGTGTAGCGGCCACATGAAGGCGCCAATGGGCGAGGCCGTGTCGCGCGTGCGCACCATGATGCCCAGGCTGGTGGAGAAGAAGGGGCTTGTGAAGTCCACCACCCGCGAGCGCGCTGAGTTAATGCTGAAGCTGGTGACCGCCATGTGCGCTGTGCCAGCCAACAAGTCGCCCACCAGCCCAGTCCAGCGGCCATCACGCAGGGCACCGTACTTGCCATCACCTACAATATACAACTCGAAGTCAAAGGGCGTGTCCTCGGCCAGCCGCTCCAGCAGGTCCATGCAGTAGCCATAGCAGCACTTGCGCAGGGTGCGTGGCACAGAGCCATTGGCCAGTGCAGCAAACAACGTGTCCAGTGTTGCTGAGTTGTTGGTACCTGGGTCCAGGCACAGGTGCCCGGCTGGGCACTGCCCATCTTCATCAGGCTCCCGGGCAAACACAAATGGATGCTCTATCAGCGTCACCACGCGAAGCTTCGACCGGGCCCGAGTGCCAGGTGGGGGGAGGGGGGGCGCGGCCACTGTGCCTGGCTCCAAGTCCAGGTGCCCATTCTGCCAGCTGCCCACAGTGGCCCAGGCTGGAGTGCCCAGCGAGTCCTGGCGTAGGCTCCATACCCTGAACCGCCGTGACATGTGCACTTGCGAGGTAGCCGTCACCCACACTGGCCCCGTGAGGCCCTGGAAGGATGTGTTGGCCAGGAACCTGGGGTAAATGGGCAGGGTCACACTGGCATCTCACTGGGCATGCTGGTCCCCACAATGGGAACCAAAGTTCCCCATCCCCCCTCTTGCCAAGGACAACTGTCCCCCATATGGGGGTGATCACTGGGCCACCAACCTCCATGGGGTCAGGACTGGCTACACAGGGGCAGTCACACTAAGAGGACACTCCCTGGCCCTGGCCCTGACTTTTATTATTTTTTAAACGTGTTTGGTTGTTTCAGGGTCTCACTACATGTCTTAGACTTGTGATCCTCCTGCTTTCAGCCTCCCCAGCGCTGGGATTACAGGCATGCACCACCACAGCAAGCATGACATTTTATTTTGAAATAGGACCTTGCTAAATCACTCAGTTGCCCAGGATAGCCACAAACTTGCAATCCTCTTGCCTCAGACTCCCAAGAGGCTGGGATGATGGTTGTGCACCATCACCCTGGCCATAATGTTGCATTCTGTGACCCCCAAGGCAGAGGTGGCTGTATAATGGGGGTCTGGATCTGTACCCCCACCCCAGCAGACCCATACTCACCTTGCCAACAAGTGCCCCCGGGACTCTGGCCCTGTCGGCTGGGGGTTGTCACAACTGACAGCAGCTGGGAGCAGGGCGCGTTCTGCCTGTGCTTGGGCAGCACTGCCCAGAGCCTGGGCCACCAGCTCCACAGCATCATGGATGGCTGCCTCCAGTGGAGGCCGGGCCACCTCGCCCAGCGCCAGCAGCCCCAGGGGCAGGCTGGCCGAGGCTGCAGGCAGTGTTTCTGGAGAAAGCGCTGTGCCCAGGAGCCAGTGGGGGCCATGTGGCGCGACCTCCAGCACCTGGCTGGCACGGACTGCATCACAGCCCAAAAGGACAACTGTGGAGACCAGTGTGTCCCCTCCTATGGGTGTCCCCAGGACAGCCAGGCGTGCCCCTAGCCCTGCATCACCAGTGTCTGGCCGGCTCAGGTCCAGCACGAGCCTTGGGGCATGGCCAGCCCGGCTTGTCCAGAGGGCCACCAGGCTGCTGGGGTCTCGGACCCGGCACAGTACCAAGCCCACGTCTTCCCAGGCATGTGCTTGCAGCACGGCCACCAGTACGTCCAGCAGTGTCTCCAGGGGGCTGGCCCAGTCCAGCTGCAGGTGGAACGGCGTCTGTGAAACAGGTGGTTACATGTAGGGTCGGTGATCTCACCAACTCCTAGGGATCCTTAGAACCCAGCTTCTTTGCCCTCCCTCTGTGGAGACTCCCCCTTCTCCAGGCAAAATCCCCACTGCCCTTCTGAATACCCCCTACCCTGGGCCACTCTCTCCACCTCAGGCTTGATCCTGTCTTTGTCCTCACTTGCCTGGGAGCCCCACTAGTGCTGAGGGTCACAGCTGCGAGAGGACAATCAATCCTGAGTACTTCAGGATGGCCCTTCTCAACAGGCTGAGGGTCCTCTGCCCAGCACTCAGGGACCTTCTCTCGGCAAGGGGAAGGTTTTCCTGACACTCAGGTGGGCAGGGTGTTGCTCCTGGGTGGGGATGGGGCACTACATGCTGGGACACTGAGGATGGTGATACAGCTAGTCTCATGCCAGGATCCCAGGCCTCTCAGGGAAGGCTGCATAGTCCCAAGCCCAGGCGATGCAGTTCCAGTAGTCGGCTGCAGAGGGCGCCATAGGCCAGGGTTTGGGTCACCTATCTTTCCCCCCGCCCCCCGACCTTGGGGGGTGGTTGCGCGAGGCGACAGAGGACCCCAGGGTTGAGCCTCAGAGGGAGGGGCCGTGGAAAGAAGGGAGATGGGTGAGACTTGGAGTAAGGTGGCTTCAGCCCCCGAAATGAGCCGGGCACTGGGTCTCCTTTCTGGCCCTGGGTTGAGTGTCTCCAGCGCAGTGTCCCTGTTGGGGTCCTGCCTTCCTGTTCGTGAATCTGGGCCCAGGGTGGGTCTGGAAGTGATTTCTTCCCAGGACCCACGGGGGAGGCAAACGGAGGTGTGGGAATATCAGTTCGCCCTGGGGACCCAAAGGGCCCTCGAGGCTGTAGAGTAGGAGAATTATTGGGGATGGAGGACTGGGGGGAAACCCTAGAAGGCCTCTACAGAGAGAGGTTAGGACCCGCTCACCCCCAAACTACACCCTCTGGAGAGGAGGGGAGCCCGCTTGCCCTCCCAGACAAGGGCAAGTCCTGGGGGAAGACAGGGGACTGCTCGAAAAGCCCGGGGACGCCCACACTGGAGCGCACAGGCGTCCGGCGGGGTCCTCAGGTGCATGCAATCCGCGCATCCTGGGCACCACGGGCCCCCCGGCGCCTGGGTCCGCATGCCTGGGCCTGCCCGGGGGCACTCGGCATCCAGCGAATCGGGTCCCTCGCACCCCGAGAGAGACCCGGAACCTCCCACCTCCCCGGTCCCCGTCCCCACGCGTCCTAGGCGCGCCATCCGCGCGTACCGGGGCGCCGAGGGGCGCGCGCGCCTCGCGCCGCAGCAGGCTGAGCACGGGGGTCTCGGTGGCGGCCGCCAGAAAGTGGAGCTGCAGGAGCTCGGGCCTCGCTTCGGGGAAAGCGAGTAGGGCCGCCACGCCCGGCGCCGCCAGCGCCTGGCACAAGCCGCGGGCCAGCGAGGCGGGGTCGCGGGCGGGGGGAGCGGCCACCGCCAGCTCCAGGCTGAGATTGTAGGGCAGCCGCTGAGTCAAGGCGGTCCGGGCCAGGACAGCGCGGGCGCGGGCGCGGACGGCGGGCGCGCGAGGCAGGAGGGCCCCCAGGCGCACGGAGCCCCCGACGCGCGCCAGGACGCCGCACGGCTGCGGGTGACCGCGGGCCGGCTCGGTCCCCAGGGCCAGTACCAGACCAAGCCACAGCGCCCTCACAAACTCCATGGCAAAGTTGCGGGCCAGAGCCGGGCTCCACCGTGGGGCCACCGTGCAGGAGTGGACCGCCCCTGCAGGCTGCGCATCCCTCGCTGTCTGTTACACCCTACCGCTGCCCGCCTGCAGGTCCCCAGCGCCAGCAACCTGCCAGAAAGGAGCGGGATCTATGCCCAGAGTTTGGCGATGAACACATTGGGCAGGGCCAGGAAAGTGTGTCATTTTATTATTTATTTATTTATTTATTTATTTATTTATTTATTTATGAAACAGGGTCTGGCTATGTAGTTCAGGCTGGCCTCCAATTTCCTGAGATCCTCTTGCCTCAGCCTCTTTAGTGTTAGTATGACAAGTTTCATGGCCCCATTAATAGGGAAGGATTCCATAGAAACTGCCTCCACATCCACCAGTTCTCCAAGATTTCAGACATCCCTAATTTACCATCCTGGGAAATGCTACCAATTGCTCAGACAAGGTTAACAGGCTTGGGCTCACATTTATCTCCATTTTCAAGGAGCAGCCTCTACAACCCATGAGTGTGTTTTAGCACTGAATTTATTCCGGGGAAACTGAAGCACGCATGTCTGATGGTAGCATGTAGGGTAGATCTGCCCTTCAGTCCTGGGTAAGCAACTTGGAACACAGAACACCTCTTCACACATCAAAACCCAGTGCCAACTGCCTGCTTCCGAGAATCATTTCCTCCTTCCTACCCGTGGCCTCACTCATCTGTTACCTCCAGGTTTTCTTTCCTTCCGCACACATCAGTCCCACCATAGCTGCTGATTGCTTGAGCAAGGGCTCACAGTCCCCAAGCTTCCCGTGTCTCGCCCACTCCCAGAAGCCTTGGGTGGTCCTGCCACACAGTAGTTGCTCAGGGGACATGGCCCGTGGCATGGGGAGCAATGGACCTGCTCCTGCCATCAGCTCCCTGCTGGGTAGCTGGGATTCATCAGTCCTTGGGGTGGGGGAGTGAGCACAGCAGGGACCCTGGCCTTGGTGGGTGAATCTCCTCTTGGAGCCAGAATAAGAAAACATTCCACTATGTTACACCAGCTGCCAGCAGCAAAATGCATTGGGTTTTGGGATGACGTCCCTGAGGGCTAGTGGCTTGGATCCAGGGGACAGAAAGGCCACCTTGTCTAGTCATAGAGTTCTCAGGGCCCACTGGGCCATCAGCAGGAGTCCTCAGAAACAGACTGGTGAGGTCAAAGACACCATCAGCCCCTCAGCGAGTCATTCAGCAAACTTTTTTTTTTTTTGTTTTTGTGGCTGGCTCAGCCTACCCTGAGGGTGCTGCTGAAGCCTGTGGCGCTGGGGACCGAACCGGGATCCCTGCGTTTGCCTAAGCTGGTGCTTAGACTGCTGAGCTATCTTGCCGGCATTCAACAAACATTTGCATGCACTGCTTCTGGGGATGCTGAATCCCAACCCTTCTCGCTCTGGGCCTGTTTCCCAACCAGCGTAAGGGCAATAAAAGGAATTCCCAGTGGGCATACAGGTTTTTAAATGTTTTATTATGGTAACATACACAAAACAAACTTTGCCTTTATTTGTGGGGCTCAGACTTTTTTTTTTTTTTTTTTCATTTTGTGTATTTCATATAGGGTCTCACTATGCAGATCGGACTCATGGTGATCCTCCTGTTTTCAGCCTCCCCAGTGCTAGGATAAGAGGTGTACCACTCCTCACACCTGGACTCTGTCGCTGGCTCAGTGCGCCTGGTGGGTGAAGCCAGCAGCATGTGGGACCAGGGATTGAACCCTGGTTCTTGCACTTGCCAAAGCAGGGCTTAGTCCCCTGAGCTATCTCACCAGCCCAAAAAGTTAATTTTTTTAAAAAACGTATTTCATACAGGGTCTACAGGGTCTCACTATGTAGACTGGACTCAGTGTTCTCTTGTTTTCAGCCTCCCAAGCACCGGGATTACAGGTGTACCACCATGCTGTCTCAAGCACTGTGCCTGCTCAGTGTGCCCTGGGGGCGGGGCCAGCACAGCACGCTGAGGATCAAACCTGGCATGCTGCGTTCTGCCTAAGCAGGCGCTTTGCTGAGTTATCTGGCTGGCCCAAAAGTTAAATTTCTTGTGACAGGCTCTTGCTAAATGGCTAAGTTGCCCAGGAAGGGTTCAAATTGCAAGCCTCCTCCCTCAGCCTCCTACAGTGCAGAGATGGCAGGCATGAGCCACCAGATCTGGCTGCGTTTAGTCTGGGGTGCTGCAGGAGCCCCTTCGGCAATGGTCAGCCCACTTCATGTTCCACCTAGCAGTGCCCAGGGATTCTGAGCTCTCTACATCCTCGGCAGCACTTGTACTTTTCCACCTTTCAGATAACAGCCACCTTAGGGAGGGCATGAGGACTGGTGTCCCAGGGTCAGAGGCTGTTGTGGACATTCCCCGCACCTGGCTTGGCTCCCAGGGGCTCAGGGACAGACTCACTGTCCCTTGGATCACATCCAGCCTATAATTACAATGCAGGGTAAAGACAGGACTGATCACTTTTCCCTGAGACAGGATCTCCCTATGTCGCTCACAGGGCCACCTTCTGGCCTTAGTCTAGCCATTTCATATTGCTCTGAGCAGTGGGGGGGGGGGGGGCAGTATGATCAGGACCAGGATGGAGGCTGAGGCAGCAGAGGGCATGGCCAAGGACCTGGACAAACTTCCAAGCCCCCTGCAAGCCAAGGATCACCCCTGTAGTTCGAAGGACTGGAGTCCCAGAGCCCCACACCAGCCTGGGTGTGGCCAAGTCTCGGCTAGCCTCCTGCTGCCTGGAACCCTCCTCAGCCGACCTCAGTGCTGTGACCGAGGCAGGAGGGTGGGCACACATGGGCCTGCAGGGCTGTCTGCATGTTAATGCCAACTGTCCCCACGTGCTCCTGGTGTCTGGTGTCCTCTGGGGCTGGCTGCTTGCCTGCCTGCAGCCACCACAGCAAGTAGGGAGTGGAGAGGAAGCATGAAGCGTGAAGCCCAACTGGTGCCTTTGGCTGTGGGAATCCGTGGGAGGCAGGGAGGGACCTGGACCCCAGGGAATTGTTGCTGCCTCCCAAAGAATCTGAGGCTCCAGGGTCAGTGCCTGGGGGAGCTGAGGGACCCTGCTTAACACCTCCTGTACTCGGCATGTTGAGATGAGGACTGAATGCACACCATGGTGGGGGAACTGAGGCAGTGTTTGGGAAGGACCTGAGGGCTCCACCCTGGGCAGATTCATGTACAAAGGGCCCAACGAGGTCCCACCAGGACCCTCAAGTGTACCAGGCTCCAGGGCTCATGGAGGCCACGGGGTGCATACAGCCCAGAAACGGGACAGGCAGAGATGGAGGCACCATCGCCCAAAAGTATGAACTCAGTGCTGGCTCTGCTCTCGCCGCAGAGATGACACCACCACTAAATCACACAGTGCTCCTGGGCCATTAACCAGGGCTGGCAGCCAAGGTGTTCCGGAAGGTTCTGAGGGCGTCTGGCTGGCAGTCCAGTGCTGGCTGGCAGTGTCCCCAGGACACTGGGGACCTAGCCTCTCTCAGGCTGATGATGCCAAGAGGTGTACCTTGGCCAGGCAGCTGGAGGGCACATCTACCCTTCACAGGGACCTGGCCTGAGGGCACCCAAAGCACCCACCCCTGAACCAGGCTGGGTGGGACCCTCAGGGGAAAGACAAGGCCTTGGCTGTCTTGGGTGTCACTCCTGCTCCTGTGCCTTCTAGGTGACCCTATCAATTCCCTGGTGATCAGTGAGAGGACTTGGGCTTGGGAAGCTCTGTTGCTGGGCACCAGCCATACCTGGGATGCTCAGATGAGTGCTGGCCTGGCTCTCACAGGACCACCAGCCCCGACCCCCACCCCGCTGTCCCCAGGTTTGACAACAGCCCCCTCACCACTGCCAGCCCCTCTGTGGTCTTGGTGCCTGCCCCCAGGCCTAAACCCTCAGAAAGCCACTCAGGACACTCACTGTCCATCCTCATGCCAGTGTGGGTCTCAGGGCCCCAGGTCATCCTCTCAGCACCTGCCCTGTTTGGGTGACTCTGGATGGGGGCCCCCAACCTGCAGGAATGAAGAGGCCTTTCCAGACCATCTTTTGTTAAAAATCGAACAGCAGCAAGTAGACAGATGAACACATACCACTGGGCCCAGACAGCCCAAACATTGGGGATAGAGTCTACAAATACAACACTGGCAAAACTGGGGAGCCCCACAGCCCACAGGCAGGAGGCTCACCAAGCTCGCTCTGGCCTCATCCAGGCCAGACTCCACCCAATAGGTGGGGCCAAGCCTCACTTGGCAGGCCTGGTGATTATGTGTGTGGAGAAGTCAAAGAGGTCACGGTTGATCTTGCGCAGGTTGCGCACCTCGTCTTCCAGTTCACTCACACGTACCCGCAGCTGGTCCTGGCTACCCTGGGGTGGGCAGGCATCGGGGTGAGGGCCATGCCCCCCACCCCAGCTGTGGCTGGGACCCCTGGGTTTGCCCCAGTCACCCACCTTCTCCAGGGTGCTGCACATCACAGCCTGCAGCTGCTCCAGCCGCCCCAGGTAGCTGGGCTCTGAGCCCTGGAAGACAGGGACAGGGACCTTAGGCCTGTGTCATGCCAACGAGGGGCCCTGCCAGGTAATCTACAGCTGAGGAGAGGTATGGGTGGAGGACCCCCCACCCAGCAGGAAGCAAGATGTCCCTGTCTTTGCAGCTCAACACACACACTGCAGAAGGGGGACCCATGCCAGGCCTTGAAGGACTCGGGCCGAGGAGGTATCTGTCTGAAGGGCACATATGGATTGGTGTCCCAGGCAGAGGGCTCTGCTGCCTGTCCTCTGGTCCCACGGCAGTGATGGCACACTGCCTGGTATGGATAGGTGTCCAAGGGCAGCTGGGGAAGGGTGGCAGAATCCAGGGCAGGAGCTGGCTGTGGACACTAGGCAGAGCCACCCAGAGCTGTGCTGGCACCCAGAGTGTGGACAAGGAAGCCACAGCCAGGAAGATGCTCTCAGATGGATTGTGTCTGCCACAGGAGGCCCGGGCCACTGTCATGACCTTAGCCCCAAACCACCCTCTGCTTCCAGGGCAGTCAGCTGTGCTCAGGCTCCACATTGCCCCTCTTCTGGGAAGACAGTGAGTGGCACTGGAAGGACAGAGATAATGGGCTGTCTGTCCCCTGGCATGGGGCCTGTGCACCCAATGTCCTTCAGATAAAAAACCCCTGCATTTCAGCAGAAAAAAAAGCCATGTGGGGAGAAATCTTGAGTGTCCCATAAAGCAGGCCAGGGAGACAGACAGTGACAGGAAATGGTGATGCAGGGGCGGAGGGGCATAGAGTGTACCTGCTGGTGGAGGCCCAGGCGTAGCGTGAGGCCCCCACGGCGCGGCTCATCCCCATGTTCGGCCCCTAGCAGGTGCTTGTTGAAGTGGGGCAGTGGCAGGCTGGGCCTGAAGTCAGAGCTCAGCATGCTGACAGGTGCCAGCACAATGGCCGCGTTGGTCACGGGGCCTGCGGAACACAGCCATGAGCCCACCCTTGCCACCCTGCTGCACCCTGCGTGCTGGAAGGGCCCTGGCAGCTTAATCCACCTTTGAGGGTCACTGTCCGGATGCACTGCTTGCTCTGCACATCCCACAGGCGCACGGTCTCGTCGTGGGAGCCGGAGAGTAGCACGCTGCCATCTGTGGACACCGACAGGCAGGTCACTTGGTTCCTGGGACAGGTGGACACTGGCATCAGGGTCCTGGCTGGGTGTGTGGGGGATGGCATGGGCTCTATCCCGGTGCCCACCTGTGGCCTCGGAAGACCTTGCCGGGTTCCTGCTCGGGCTGGAAACTCTGTTCCCTCTGTGCAGGCTGTGGAGACTGAGACAGGCATGAGTGCAGGGGTGATGCCGCCCTGGCCCCAGCCCACAGACAGTGGGGCTGTCGACCTCCTCACGGCCACCCTGGCTACTCACCTGGGTGCAGAGATCAACCTGGAAGATGGAGCCATCACTCCCCCCGCAGAACATGTGGTGCTCAGCCAGGTCCATGGTCACAGCCATGACAGCCACGTCAAACAGGACGGAGAGCAGCAGCTCTCCTGAGGAGATCTCCCACAGCTGGGTGGGGGTGGGGAGGGTAAAGGGTAGGGGTCAAAGGCTGGCAGCCGCATCCTGCACATGGCACCCATGTCCTCATCCTGGGAGCTGGAGGGTTAGAGGGAACCCAAGGCAGGCTGAGACGTGCAGCATGGCGCTTGACTCCCATGGGCCTGGCCAAGCCTGGCATGGCTGGCTGAGTGGGAATTTCCAGGCGACAGAGGCCTTGGCTGCTTCAGGCATCCTCAGGCTGGGAGCCTTGGGATTATAGGTGTCTGAGCCCTGCTGACCTCAAATGGTCCCCAAGGGCAGGGTGGGGCTGTACCTTCACTGTCTGGTCCAGTGAGGCTGTGGCCACTCGGGCCAGAGGACCCCCAAAGCCGCAGTGCACATCAGTGACAGGGAGTGTGTGGTGGGACCACACATGCCGGGGGGCTGGGATCCTGGAGGGGTCCACCTGCAGCACGCTGCGGGGGCAGAAGTGTGGTCACCACCCTCATCTCTACACCAGCCCTCCTGAGGGGACCTGGGATGGGTGCCACCTGCAGAGGCTCCAGGCCAGCACCAAGCAGTCCTTGCTCCCTGAGATGAAGTGGCTGCTGTCACCCGTGAACTTGAGGCAGGAGACATCCTGGTAGTGGCGGCTCAGGATGACCAGGAGGTTCCCAGTGCAGACCTGGGAGGGATGGGGGTGCCAGGTCAGTGGGGAAAGTGGGGTGTGGTGTTGTGGGTGGTTCTGACCTCTTTGCCCCAGGTTGGGGACAACAGTGCCAGCTGAGTTTGGGCAGTGTCTATGGCCCTGGACTTAGCTGTCCTGCTGTCAAGGTCTTTCTATCTTGTCCCCGAGTATGTGGTGGGCCCAGGAATGGGGACAAGTTTTCTGCTACCCTGACTGCTAGAGACAGCAGTGGTCCCTCTTCAGGAGTTTGTCACACCAGGAAATGATGTTGGAACAGGCTACAGCAGCTGCAAGTGGGAGCTGCCCTGCGCCTCATGCAGCCTAGAGGAGGAACAGGAGGCGGCCAGTAGCTGGGATGAACCCCTCGCACCAGGAGACAAGCTGGGAGAGCTGCTGTGGGGTGAATCATTCCCCACCAAAACACATTTAAGCCCTGACTCTGCACTCATGAATGTGATATTAATAAAAACAGGAGGGCCAGGTATAGTGACGCATGCCCACACTCCCAGCACTCAGGAGGCTGCGGTAGGAGAATCATTGCAAGTTCGAGACTCGCCTGGGCCACAAAGTGAGCTCAAGACCAGCCTGAAAGGGGCCGGGGAGATGGCTCAGTGGAATAAGCGCTTCCCTTGCAAGTGCAAGTGTCTTAATTCAATCCCCGGTTCTGAAAAAAAAAAAAAAGACCAGCCTGAACTGCATAGCGAGACCCTGTCTCAAATAAAGCCTTGCCTAGGTCTGGGAAAGATGAGGTCAGATTGGGGCAGGGCACATCTTAAATCTAGTGACTGTCCTTACAAGGTCAGGGAGACATGGACATAAAAAGGAATAAAGCTAGCTAGGTGGGGTAGCACACACCTATGATCCTAGCACATAGGAGGCTGAAACAGGAGGATTGCTGGAAGGTCATGAGCAGCCTGTACTACATAGTGAGATCCTATCTCAAAAAAAGAAAAAAGGGGGCTGGGGAGATGGCTCAATGGAATAAGTGCTTCCCTGGCAAACACAAGGGCCTGAGTTCAATCCCTGGTTCCACAAAAA